ATCCAACACATCCAAATAAAGGGAACAAAAGAAAAGTAAAAGAAAAACTCCAGTCAATTATAAAATGTTCAAACTATGAAAATATTTCTTTCAAATAAGTGGATTTAAACCTTCAATATTTGGATAGAAAGATATCATATAAATACGAGGAAAGTCAACATATCATGTCTTGTTTCAAAGATGGAAGAAATTATGAATCAATGCAATTTTGGAGTCAAAATTGGATTTTTGTTATTTGGAGAATTTTAGTTTGCTTTTATTTTGCATTATTTTAGTTTTAATTCTTAATTTTAGGCTAATTTAATCCTCCCTTGTTTAATGCTAATAGGTGAAATAAATAATTACAACCTATCAGTAGAGACATTCTGTTCACTATACCGATAACCGCTAATTAGTAGAGTAGGAGTTTCTTCGTCTCTCGTAAGAGAGATTGTCGTTCTTAGGGAAGGAGTATCCTTTATCCGGTGAGTCAGGACCGCCCTAAAAAAAGAATCTCTAGCGAAGCTGTCAACTCAACCTAAATGTTATAAAATTGAGCAAGTTCTCCACATCTTCCAATACCCTTCCTGGGCGTTCATACTTACTTATGTAGTCTTTCTCGCTTCCAAGGAGTTTTTATTGCACAATTCAAGAATTGTCAGAGCTTGTTGGTCAGATTTTTTTAAAAAATAAAAATAAAAAAGAGTACGTCCAGTGACTCATTTGATTAATAAAATTAGGGGATTATATTTTATAATAATTTTGTCATAAATGGATTATGGACTATAAATCTTGAATTATAGTTTGAATTGATATTGGAATTATATATATTTTTTATTATCTAGATAAAATAAGTTATCCCATATATATACTCACATCGCGTATTGATGTCGATTTAAATTGTGAATTAGTTAAGAAGATGAAGTAAACGGAGAGGTTCCGTGATGCAGTCTGGTTTATAACCATAGGATGACAAAGTATGGTTGTGTTCAAAATGTGTGGGCACAATCACAAAGCTGCTTCAGCAATAATTGACTTTGTTTACGCAACACGCTTTCACTCATTTCGCATTTATTTTTTGAAAAACATCAAATCAAATACACTTTTTTTTTTTGTCACAAAACATCAAATCAAATACTAATTTTTTTTATTTTTTCTAAATTTGCAAATTTCCAAAAACCTCCAAAACTCTTTATCTAAACAATGATTGACTATAAAGAGAATAGAGATAGAGAGAATTATATATATATCACACATATGATTCGAATGGAAAAGAAAGAAAAGAAGATGCATTAATAGTACAGCTTCACCATGAGGCATATATTTGGCCAACCCTTATCTTGCCAAGTGTATGCCAAATGCTTCTTTTCTTTTCTATCCAAGAACTATTTACATTCCAAATGCTTCTTTTCTTTTCTATCCTAGAACTTGCATTCTCTCTCTCTCCTTTACTGATGGACAGCATGAATTTATTTATTTATTTATTTTTATTCTTTTTTTTTATAAAAAAAAATTCAAAAATTCAATTACTCCCTCCGTCAAATTTCTATTGTCCTAAAGTATATTTGCATGGTTTTTTAGGTGATTGTCTTTTTGTTATGAATTGACAAATTTGTTCTTAATTGTATAGTAGAGATTAAAAGTAATAAATGAATGAAGGGTAAAAATGTAAAATTTGTGTTTAAAAAAAAAAAGACAATAGTTGTTGGACGTCCAAAATAAGAAAGTAGAATATTAGTTTGCAAACGGAGAAAGTATTATTTAACTTGATAATCTTTCTCCTAAAAACTATCACACTAAATATTATACTTTTCATTTAATATATTGCACTAAAAAATAAATATTTTATTTAACGGATTACATTTAATTAATAACTATTTAAATTATATCCAACTCGTATTTCTCATTCAAAATTTAAACTATTCTCAAACACCAATACAATTCCAAAATACATTCAAGAGAATCTTGTATTCTCTCTGATCTATTTTTGTTTTTACTATTCAACTCTCCTATTTCACAATTAAAATAAAATATTCTCTCATAAAATGTTAAATTAAAAAATAATGAAAATTAAAAAAAAAAAAGTTCAAAGTGCTAATATATGATTTCTAAAAAGATTTGTTCAAGAATTTTATTCTTTGGTTTATATATAAAGTTTTCCTCTGTAATATCACATTATTATTAAATGTATTTTGGTCTATTGTGTTTGATTTTGGTTTTGATTTTGTTATTTATTTATTTATTTATTTTTGTGAAATAGTTATATTGAATGTGATATTTTCTATAGAAAGATGGTATATTTTTACATAAATATATATTGAAATTGAAATAAATCTCAAAGTAAATAGTGTCTTGATATTTCACTATTTTTTTAATTGTAAGTAATAAATAAATCAAAATTAAACGAACCATTTTTACTATAAATTATAAAGTTTATGATATAAGAATAAGTTTTACTCAAAACTAGTTAACTTGTTCACTCGAGTGGAAAGAAATATTTTTGCTTTGTTTAGTTATGTGTATTTGATTTGGGTTTCAAATTTAAATCATCTTGGATTTCAATAAAAATATATTTACTCGTCTCAATTCAATATATATTTTTATTTTTTTAGTGAATAAAAAATATAATTGGTTAGTTAAAGTAAAATTTTTTGCATTTTTACCCTCTTTAAAATACAAAAGAAATAAATATTTTTATAAATATTAGAGCTATTTTTCAACTTAAACATGATTATTTCTATTATAATTAAAAATTAATATTTTTGAATGAAATACACCAAAATCATAACAAAATATACATTCAGCAGTGACAGAGAGATTATTATTATTTTTAATAAAATAATATATCAAAATATTTCATCTCCTATTCAATTGTGTGCTTGATTGTTTGAGCACAACTATTAATAAAATGTGTAATACTGTTACATTTTATTATTTATAGTAAAAAATACAAAAGTAATAATATATTTAAGAATATATATAATTTTTTTTATATGACAATTCAAAAAAAAATTTTACTATAAATTTGAATGATGGAAGCAGTAGTATTTAAACTAAATCAAAATCTCAAACTAAACCAAACACAATTCTAGTTTGTGGTTACTATTGAATGTGAGGTTAAAAAAACTGTTGTTAAATTATACTTCTTCCGTCCCGAAAGTATAGTATTGGTTGTGTTGGGTACGAAATTTAAGGAATATTAATATTATATTGATACCGGGTAAAAAATATAGGTAAAAGATTTTTGCCCTTGCGAGTATATTAATGTAAAAGGTAATAGCAACTGTGTAATAATAATGAAAAAATAATGGTATTTTTATAATGATATGATTATTTATATAAATAAAATTATTGTTTTAGGATGGACAAAAATAATAAATAACACTATTGTATTGGGACTAATGGAATATTATTTTCACCTAAATATCAGGTTCTGCATAAAAAATTGGAATCCTATATATATATATATATATATATACGTTTGTTGTTTGATGCAATTCCTGTGATAAGGTCGGTTATTTTAGGAATTTTAAGATTCTTTTATTCGAGATAATGATGTGGTAGATTCTTACTTGTGTGTGTATATATATACATAGAGAGAGAGAGAGAGGGAGAGCAGAGCGTGTGTGAATATATATAGAGAGAGAGAGGGAGCGCAGAGCCTCTGTGAATATATAGAGAGAGAGGGTTCAACAAGGCCGGTTCTAATTTTCGAAGGGCTGAGGCGAAAAAAAAAAAAAAAAAAAAAGAAAAAAAAAAGACCTTTTGAATATATATATATAAGTAATATATTTTTATATATAATAAAATATAAATAATTAAATAAAATATTTTTCTAATATTTTTAAATGAAAAATAGTATAAATTCTTTTTGTTAAATGTTTGAGACATACTCCAACGTCCCAATAGATGTCTTCTTGAGAGTTGACATAGAAATCAAAGAATAATAGTATTTAATTGAAAGTATCCATAAAGTAGAAAATAAATGACTAAAATGCCCTTACTTTTTGAAAGATTTTAAAGAGTGGGTTAAAGTAATAATTATGGATAGTATGGAAAAGTATGAATAATTTTGTTATAAAGTAGGAACCACGACTACTAAATAAAGAAATAAGACAATTGTTCTGTAACGGACAAAAATAGAGAAACAAGACAACTATTTTGGAACGAAGGGAATTATAAGATTTGAATTTAAGAACGTAACATTAAAAATTGATCTTTAACACACCAAACTACAACCCTTTACATTTACATATATCAAATAAATTATATATAGATAAATTACACATATATAACATAAATATATAATTGGCCCCTGTTTACGTGGGCCCTGGGCGGGTGCCCTTCGCCAGGCCCCGGGCCGGCTCTGGGGTTAAACTGGGCAGATGCATTTGTATATATATTTATATATATAATATACATTGATAGGCAGATACATACGTAAGGTACTAAAACAAAAGTAAAAAATTGATATAGAATAACCCAAGCAAGAATTCTGTTGCTTAGTTTCTATGTTATAGGCATTTGAGAATATGAATCTCCTGAAACAGACACTGCAACGCTTTTTTTTTTTTTTTTTTTTCAATGTGTTTGTTTGGAGGCATTGGATTTTGAGTTGGGATTTGAATAGTAAAAATTTTAAATTTGAATAGTTGTATGATGTGATATAAATAGGTGTAGATGTGATGTTTTGAATGTAAAATTGATTTTTAGTATAATATAGAAAATGAAAAATACGTGTTTGATTTGACGTTTTTGGGAAAAAAAAAAATGAGATGAATAACGTATTTAAAATCCAATTCCCAAACAAACACAGCCTATAGATTGCACTAGCTAGTCGCATATATATCATTGGCTATAATTAGGCATCTATCTATCTATCAATCTATCTATCTATCTATCTTTCTCGAAAGAAGCATGCATGCATGCAAGGTGTAGACGACAATCTATAAATAGCTCCTCCACGAATTAATTAATTCAGATGCATGCATGTGTGCCTCTAGAATTTATGCAATAAACCCTAACCCTAACCCTAGCCCAATTTATTCGTGTGTAATCATCGATCAAGAATATAGGGTAGGATCAAATTAGGGTTGGGTCGGGTCGGGTAGGGTAGGGTAGGATGCCTCGGGAGAGAGATCCTTTGGTGGTAGCTCGGGTGGTTGGGGACGTGGTGGAGCCATTCACGAGAAGTACGGCACTGCGAGTGTTTTACGGCGCGAGAGAAGTGACCAACGGCAGCGACTTTAGGCCCTCGGAGCTTCTGAGCCAGCCCCGGATTGAGGTCGGAGGGGATGACCTCCGGACCTTCTATACACTGGTCACCAATTTATAAATTAAAATTAATTAATTTTATATACATATATATGTATATATAAATATATAAATATTTGATTTCTGCATGCAGGTTATGGTGGATCCTGATGCTCCCAGCCCTAGTGATCCTAATCTTAGGGAATACTTGCACTGGTTGGTAACCTAACATTAATTCATTCATTCATTATTTAATTTTGATGGATTCATATGTATGTATGCATATTCCATGTGATGTAACGTCATTATCATTTCCCACACGACTAAATTTTCATAATTTCTTTTTCACTGTGCTACAAAAAAATAGTATATTTGTAACGGAAAAAATATATTTAGTGACGCAGCTCTGGTTGGCTAATGTTAATTTATGGTGAACTGTTTTTTTTAGTCTCCTATCTAATCCTCTCTATCATTTTATAACTTTAAGTGGATCATGTTTGAAATTAGTTCCGTAAGTAAAAAATTTTTGCTAAAATGATCCTCCGGTGCCGGACTCGCCACGCTGGCCATGTGGCGCTAACGCGATTGACATGTCATCATGTAAATGCCACGTCGGATGACCATGTCAACTGCGCCAACGTCACCTCAGCAACAACGGGCCAGCATGACGAGTCCGGCACTGAAGGCCCATTTTACCGAAAAATTTTTACTTCCAAAACTATTTTCAGATATAATCCGCTTAAAAATTAGATTGGGACTAAAATAATAGCTTACTAATTTATGTTACCTTATATATCCTTTAATTTAACCCTTGAAGGTTGAGTGCATCAATGATGATAAGTTTGGGAAAAGACAGCTAAGGGCTAACAACAAAAACTGATCTATCCATCTACTTCTCTGATGTATCTTTCAACAATATATATATATATTTTTTTTTTTTTTTTCTTCATTAGCTGGGGTACTTGTATTTTTAATTTTTTCCTTTTTGTATGATATTATTATATTGGGGTTGAGAGAAGCTTTTGAAAAATAAAAAAGATAATGTACAAATTTTAAAATATTTACCCGTGAAAGCAAATACAGCATGTACCCCTACATCAATTAACTCTATATTTAATTTTATGGACTAATTAATTAATTAGTATGTCATTTACGATATAAAGATTTTAAACTCTATGAAAGTTGATATACTCTAAAAGGGTAGTGCATTATCGATAATAAATAAATAAAACCAGAAGATTCATTGCATAATTCTTATTATTATATATATAGTTTTTTTTTTTTTGTAGTTTATTTTTTGCCATTTCTACAATATATATATATATAAAAATATGTATAAATTTGCAGATTGTACTTACTATTATTTCCTCTATCCCATATAATTTATTCCTATTTTTTATTTTCGTCATTAAATTCCAGTATCTATAATATGCGCTCATTTTATCTAAGACGGAGGGAGTACTAGGTAGAGTTGTTCACTTAAGTTCGGATGAAATTCCACTTCTAAATGTTTTTTTTTTCTACTTACATTATCATTGGCAACATTAATTATTTACAATAGATACCATCTATATACTTTCAGTTTTCTAATCCTATTGTTTTCATTATTAGAAATAGCTATTTCCAGTAACGGAATCAGCAGTAAAAGTCCGGAGGAGTAAAATTGATTTTTTTTTTTTTTTATCGATTCAATGTTGTTTTTTTTTTATTATTGATAGTACACTTGACAAAAAAACATGAAAAATTTAAATGTTTTATAAAAATTTCAAAAAAATTTAATATTTTTTTACTATAAAAAATAAAATTTAAAGACTAAAAGTATAAATCAACAAACGGATAAAAATTTTTATGGTCTTTTACATTAAAAACTAAAAAATTAGGAGAGACAAATTATTATAAAATACATAATTTTATTATTTTTTACATTAAAAAATACATATGTTTTGAAGGTTGGAGGAGTTGACCCCCCTAACCCCGTGTAGTAAAATTGATTTTTTTTTTTTTTATCGATTCAATGTTGTTTTTTTTTTATTATTGATAGTACACTTGACAAAAAAACATGAAAAATTTAAATGTTTTATAAAAATTTCAAAAAAAATTAATATTTTTTTACTATAAAAAATAAAATTTAAAGACTAAAAGTATAAATCAACAAACGGATAAAAATTTTTATGGTCTTTTACATTAAAAACTAAAAAATTAGGAGAGACAAATTATTATAAAATACATAATTTTATTATTTTTTACATTAAAAAATACATATGTTTTGAAGGTTGGAGGAGTTGACCCCCCTAACCCCGTGTAGTTCCGCCCTGGCTATCTCGACTAAATACACCATCATAACATACATATATATATATATATATGTTTATTTATTCATGCTAAGACAATTTTTCAATATAAATTTAGATACAAAAATTAAAATAAAAGTGAATGTACTGTTCACAATAATATTCTTGTTGTTTAATTATATATATTTGCCATCATTGTATTGCATGCATGTTTCCTCATGGAATCTATTTTTATCGTCCCAAATGTTTTGTGATCTTCTTCTGGTCCTGGTATTGTTGTCTTGTTTGTATTCGTATCATTTGAAACTTTTACATAATTAATGAATCTACATTGTAATTCTGTCATTATACAGGCTGGTGACTGATATTCCCGCAACCACTGGAGCAACATTCGGTAAGTAATCAATCTCTCACCTCATCGAACAAAATTCATTACATACGTACACAGTGGCGGAGCTAGTAGGGGGACTGAAGGGTGTTCCGCCGCCCACCATCCTAATTATTTGAATTTTGTATTTTTATTATGTAATATTTGTATATTTTTTAAAATTTAAATAATTAGTCAACCCCTATAGATTTAACAAAACTATTATTATTATTTATATTTAACTTAAACACTTAAAAATATTAGTTCAAATATTGCAAAATTTTTTAAAATTTTTTTAATTATATTATATTATTTATATAAAAAAAATTTCGCTGTCCGACCAAAAAAAATTTTCTGACTCCGCCGGTGTCCTTACCTTTTTTAGATATTGCCTGTTAAGATATACCCCATCCGTCTACAAAATAACTTCTTACTTTTCTATTTGGAATGTCCAACAATTATTGTCACCCTTTCTATTTTTATACACAAAATTTACTCTTTTACCCTTACTTTATTTACTCTTTCATTTTTTATACACAAGATTAAGGGCAAATTTGTCATTTTATAATAAAAATCTTAATTTCCTAAAAATACGTGTAAATATGAAATAGGATATTAGAAAATTGATAGAGAGAGTAATAAATAAATATAATATATAAGTGTGGAGGTATAAAATTGAAGGTAAAAGAATATATATATATATATATTTGCAGGGCAAGAGATTGTGTGGTACGAGAATCCTCGGCCGTCGATGGGAATTCACCGATTCGTGTTCGTGCTTTTCCGGCAGCTGGGGCGGCAGACGGTGTACGCTCCAGGGTGGCGCCAGCACTTCAACACCCGGGACTTCGCTGAGCTCTACAATCTGGGACCTCCTGTGGCGGCTGTCTATTTTAATGGTCAGCGGGAGAGTGGCACTGGTGGCAGGAGACGATAGATAATTTACTAACTAATAATAATTAATTTAATACATAACATTATCATTACTATTACTATTACTATCCGCTAATTACTCATTACATCCTACCATCAATTTTATAATCTTAAAATATATAGTTAGCAAATACATATATATATATATATATAGCTGTATTATTATTTTGTGAATTGGTCGAAATAAAACTTCATTCACTTGCTGGTGTAATATATCTAAAGATAATAAAATATTCGTTTTTCACAACCAAATCATCTACTATGGATAGCGTAGGCATGATAGAAATTGTATCTTGATCCACGAAGACTATTATATTTTGGCTTGGTTATCTTATTGGTTGATTTATAACATTTTCATTTGAAGACACTTATTTTTGTGTAGCTCTATCGATCATCTAATATTTTAGAGTTTTCTGAAGAAAAAAAATGAAAATATGGTTGGAATTTTATCGAAAGATTATCTTCTATAAGATTTGGCTGGGTTACTTTATTGGTTGATTTCTAACCTCTTCATTTTGAAGCTGCTCATTTTTGTGTAGCTCTATCAGACCCTCTAATATTTCAGAATTTTCTAAAGAACAAATATGGAAATATCATCGGGATTTTATTGCAAGATTATATTCTACCTAAAGATTGTCCTAAAAAGCTTACGCAAGCAAATTCTTCGTCAACTTGGATTGAATGCATCCTTCCGGGTTGAGAGGCTTCAAGAACTTCTCATTTAGGTCACTCCCCTTTTCCGGTAAGGACATTTTCAAGGGACACCAAATTCTTCACAACTTGATTTTGATATTTGATTAACGGAAGCGTGGTATGCGATATCCCATTGAGCGTGTCAATTTTTTGTCACTAAGTTAGACTTTCGGACATAATTTGTATGAAGATTAAAAGAACAAAGGAAAATGCATTGCATAAGAAACAAAAAGAAATGAAAACAAAAGCAAAGGATCGAAGAAAGATAAATTTTGTAGATGTGTTGTGGTCATCTCTTTAAAATTTCCTGGTCTGTTATTCATTTAAACTTCATATTAATGTAATCTTAAGTAAAGGCTTCATTAGTTTCATTATAATTCCTATGTAATTTTCTTATCTAAGCTTCTTAAAAGGTTCTGTAACTCCTTCTAACTGTTACTTTTTAAAATCTCTTATAATCTTCTTAAGGTCATTATTTCGAAAAATTTACTAAATTAAAGAAAGCCTCCTCCTCAACCGAGATCTTCCCCTATTGACTTCTCCTAAACTTTTATTGGCCCTTTAGCAATAGGTAGGGTGGGTTTGTAGGAAAATTTCATGATCTTCTCGGACCTTTCTTGTGCTTTTTCATTGGACTTTCACGACTAAGTTCGTCTTGTGAAGGTTTCTTCTTGATTTCCGGAAGATAACTTCTCTCCAAATGGCTTCCTATCGTTGGAATAATAGTTCTCGTGTTTTAGCCTCCCGTCGAGTTGGTCTTCTTGACCTTTTTTAGGCCTAAATGTTAATGTGGCATATGTGAAAGGTCTTCACTACTCTCCCCACTCCTCACTCTCCAAGTCGGTTACTTCTTTGATGGAATTAAGTAATTAGGACATGAATTTTAGAGTTTTTGGTCCCATAAGCATCACTATATAAATGTTTCTACACCATCTAGAAAAATAGTATAAGTGCTTAGAAAAACCTATAAAAGATTGCATTCGAGTTTAACACGAATAACCAGAAGTATGTTCTCAGGGTTCATTTTAGTTTCGATTCTCAAATTTCTATTCCGCATTGAGGTGATTATTATGCTTACATTTGATATCAAAGCTTGTTTTTACCTCTGCCTTGATGTTCTAATTTTTATTTAAACGGATTTCTTTCGTTCGAGATATTTTATAAAATTGATGTTGAAAATCATTATGTGATCGATGTTCTTGCAATGCTATGTGATTGGTACAATCACATACAATAAATAACATAAATTGTAATTAATCATACGTGACATAATGAAATTTACCAACATGAATTTTGTTATATTTGTATGGCTAATTAGAATATTATATCAATTATATTTCTAATTTACCCATAGGGATTTAAAAAAGAAACGTAGTTGATAGTATTATCATATGATTAAATGAGTCTAATCGAATTAAAACTTTAGCCCATAGGCATGTTTTATGTCAGTAGATTTATAATTTTTCCAGGACAATCATTGGTAAAACATGTTGTATGTTTTATTTGTGCTTTGATTTAATAACGATTTTATCATGTTTATTTATTTATTTTTTATTGCAACTATTCAATCTATTAATATCTCTGATATGAAATATGATATTTCTGATCTTCATGGAGACAATTATAAAGTTTGTAATGAGAAAATTCTTATGCATTTGGGGTGGATGGACATAGATTATGCCATCAGGAAAGATGAACCGTCTTCTATTACTGAAAATAACACTCCAGATGAGGTCGATCTTTATGAAAAATGGGAGAGATCTAACCATCTTTGCGTTATGTTCATAAACACTCGAATATCTGCTGAAATAAGGGGTTCTGTTTAGCATTGTACTAATGTCCGTGCCTTTTTGAAAGGTATCGATGATCAAATTGTGATATCTAATAAGGCATTGGCTAGTACCCTGATAATGTGATTCTCATACTTAGAACTTACCGGTATAAGAGGTGTGCGCGATCACATTATGCGTGTGAGGGATATAGCGGCTCAACCGAAGCGACTGGAAGTTGATATGTCTGATTCTTTCCTATTTCACTTTATTTTGTATACTCTTCCTCCATAATATGGTTCTTTTAAGATCTCTTACAACACACATAAAGATAAATAATCAATAATTGAATTGATGACTATGTGTTTCCAAGAGGAGGGACGCCTGGCTGTGGAAGAGGGAGAAAAAGTGAACATGGAAGTTGTGGGCGAAGGAAAGAACATGAAACATCATAAAAACAATAAAAGAAACAAAAATATTTTTTTACAAAATAACATCAAGAAAGGCAACATGTGTTTTTTCTGTAAAAAGAAAGGACACATAAAGAATAAATTGTCCTAAATACTTCAAGTGGCTTGAGAAGAAAGGTACCCAACTTTCATTTGTATGTTATGATCTAATATGATTGATGTTAATGGTGGATTGATTCTGGTTTTACAATCCATGTTACGAATACCATGCAAGGATTGCAAAACCGATGGAAACCAGTGGGAAGTGAGTTGAGCATCTATTCTGGAAATAAGATGCCATCACATGTGCAAGCTATTGGGACGTGCAATCTAGTTTTGAGTAGTTTTTCTTTTAACTTTGGAAAGGACTTTTTACATTTCTAGTTTTGCTAGAAACTTGATTTATGTTTCAAATTTTGTTTTATGTGGATATTGTTTTAATTTCACAAACTTTGTTTTTAGTTTATCTTTCAAATAAAATTTCATTGGACAAAGACTTTTGAGTGATGGTCTTTTTCGTCTTAATCTGCAAAATATTGATTACCCAACTACTTTACACATTTAAGATAATGTCGGTACTAAATGATATATTATGGATGAAAATTTCTCTATATTGTGGCACCGGAGATTGGAACATATCTCCATTAAGAGAATTAAAGATTGGTAAATATACGAGTACTTGGTACTTTGAATTTTACTGATTTTGAGACTTGTGTGGATTGCATTTAAGGTAATTAAACCAACAAGTCTAAAAGGGGTGCAAAGAGGAGTACAAACCTATTGAAGGTTATACATACAAATATTTGTTATCCAAACATAGACGCAAGTATTCCAAAATACTTCATCACTTTCATTGATGATTTTTCACGTTATATGCATCTATATTTGCTTCATTCAAAGGATGAAGCTTTGGATGTCTTTAAAGTTTTCAAGGTTAAAGTAGTGAAACAATGTGAAAAACAGATTAAAATCGTTTGATTTGATAGAGGTGGTGAATTTTATGGTAGATATATGGAGAATGGACAAGCACCTGGTCCTTTTGCAAGGTTTTTTCAAGAGCATGGGATTGTTCCCCAATACACTATGCTCGGTTCTTCCGACTAGAATGGTGTTTTTTAAAGAAGAAACCAGGTCTTAATGGATATAATGAGAATTATGAGAAGCAATGTAAAACTCGTTGAGTCGTTGTGGAGTGAAGCTGTCAAGACGGCAGCATATATATTGAATCGAGTTCCAACTAAGGTTGTCTCAAAGACAGCTTTTGAGTTATTCAAAGGTTGGAAACCGAGTTTAAGATATATACATGTTTGGGGATGTCAGTCTGAAGTGAAAGTTTACAATCAACAAGAGAATAAACTAGACCCGAGGACCATTAGTGGATATTTCATTGGATATGCTGAAAGGTCCAAAGTTTATAGATTCTATTGTCCATCTCACAGTACTAGAATTGTGGAATCAAGAAATATGAAATTTCTTGTACATAATTTAATCAATAAGAGTGATCGCCTTCGGAATATTTTTCCTAAAAAGAATCATCATGAAGCTCAACCTTTGTTCAAATGATAGATTATTTGTCGTTTATACCCCTCAAGTACAAACCAGTATTAGACGATCAACTATCGCAATTCCACAAGGTGCTGATATTGATCAAGTAGATCGCACTGTACATGAGAAACAACAAGAAATTGTTGAACAACCAGTTGATATTGTTGATCAACCGGTTGAGCAACAAGTTCCTCAAGAGAATGATGACACAGTGTTAAGAAGATCTACTAGAATTAGGAGATTAGCTATCTTTGGTGATTAAATTGTCTACCTACAAGAGTGTGACTACAAAATTGGAGTCGAAAATGATCCTGAAACATTTTCACAGGCTCTGAGTTCATTAACATCAAACTTGTGGTATAATGCTATTAAATAAGAGATGGATTATATGGCATCCAATCAAGTTTGGAATCTTGTCGAGTTGCCTGATGGTTTAAAAGCCGCCGGATGTAAGTGGGTCTTTAAAAAAAAAAAAAAACTCAAAAGGCATCATCGAAATATATAATTCACGAGTTGTTGCCAAGAATTTCACTCAAAATGAAAGAGTCAACTACATAAAGACTTTTTCTCCTGTATCAAAGAAGGATTTTCTTTGAATCATTATGGCATTAGTAGCTCATTTTAATTTTGAATTACATCAAATGGATGTGAAAATGACATTTCTTAATGGCACTCTATATGAAGAGGTTTATATGAAACAACCTGAATTATTCTTCTCTAAATACGGTGAGCATTTAGTATGTAAGCTCAATAAA